AACCTTATGGGAAAATTTACTTCGACTTGCGACCAACTTGACTTGCGATCAGAATCACGAACGGATTAAGTTCGTAAGTAGAGGTACCACTGTATTTAATTGTAACTTGTAGAACTTCTGATTATTCGAAGAACCGCACGTGGGCAACCTCTAAGGTGCGGCCCTCTCTGGTTCCCCTGCGCAACGCAACGAAGGGCGCTCCTCTGCTCCCGCCGTGGGCCTTCTCATTCAACTGCAACCCCCAAAGGCTCCGACCCGAGAGCCCCACCCCTCCCCTGCAGACGCTGTGAGGGAGCAACACCTGCAATCCGGCTCCCGTAGGCGACGCCCACGGCGCAGAAGCTGTTGTTGGAGGCAGCGGCAATCTCCCCGGCACAGCGGGTCCCGTGGTGGTTGCCATTCTCCTCGTCGGGGTGGGGCATGGGGTCCGGGTCATTGGAGTTCAGGTCGTAGCTGCCTTCCGGGCTCTGAGAGAGAGAGCAGCATGTTGACCCCTTCTCTCAACAGCGCAGACGCTTGGAAGCAGCCCCCACAGGGCGGGCAAGTTCCTAACCCAGCGTTTCCCAAACTCCGATGGACCCCAACGTCCAGCATTCCCAGCCAAAAACCCAGCAAATCTGGTCCTCCTCCCAAGGGTACGAAACAGCTGCGCCTTGGCCCCTTGGCTGCCAGTCCTTTTGAGGGGAACTCAGTGAGGCAGGAAAACTAGGCCACGGCCCCTTTCCAGGCAAGAAAGCCCACCTAGTTCACCCACGTCCACTAAGCTGTCCCCAGTGGGGGCCCCAATAATTTCAGGGCCGAGACCCCGCCTAGCGGCCTTCCTGAGAGGATGCAGCGCACCCCACACCCGGCCCACACCCGGAGCAGCTGTTTCAAGGGGCACCTCTGAACTCGCCCGGAGCCCAGCCGCCCTTGCTCCACCAGCCGGGGCTCACCTGCCCCCGTTCCTCAGAGAGGCCGGCTGAGCCTCCAAACCGTCTCAAAAGGCTCCCCAAAGCCAGCGCACCCCTAAAGCCCAGCCCAGGCTGCCCCCTCCCCCCAACTCCTCTGGCTGAGAGAGGAAGACGCCCCCCACCCAGGACCCAAACCGCGGCAACCGCTCACGTAGTTGGGCTGGATGTCCTTGATGGTGTGTTCAACACCATCATCCACAACCACCACTGTCACGCCCTGGCCTGTCACATTCCGCTCCCACACGCCCGTCACGTTGATGTCCATTCCGGGGTTCTTGCGGTTGTCCTGGCAGAAGGAAGAGGCGCGTGGTCGGGGGCCAGCAAGGGGGGCAAGGCCAGCAGAGCTTCCGCTGAATGGGACGGCTTCAAGAACAGTCCCCCACCTCAAAGCCACACTAGCGGCAGAGGCCGACTGCCCCCGTTTGGGGCAAGCAACGGCCAGCGGAGCCTTAAGGAAGGCTCCCCGACCAGTGGGTGGCCAGGACCAGGCTCCTCCCTGAGCGGCCGAAGTGCGGGCAACGAAGCGAAGTGTGACACCGCGGAGGAGCAGGACCAAAAGCCTCGAGCCCCTTTTTTAGGGCATGGCGCGTTAAGGCATGGTCCTTTCTTTCATTTTCTGGAAAAAGGACGTGGAGCGCTGCTGGCAGCACACAAATCCTCCAGCCGGGGGGACCGCAGTGAGAGCTCCGGGGATGGCAGCAACTAAACCCACGGCTCCCCGGGCTTCCTCCCCCGTCCCTGGCACTACCCGGGGACCTCACTCACCAGGTGCCACTGCTGTGGGAACTTCGGGTCGTTGAAGCGCAGGGTGCGCTTCGAGCGCTTGAGGAGCCGCTGGGCCGCGTGCCATCCCACGCGGGCGTGCCGCGCGAAGAGCGCCTCGGCGGCCTGCCGGAC